GTCTGCATCTCAGCTGCGACCTGGTGCCCCTCAGTATCTCCCTGGGGTGGGGCTGGGGGAGGGACAGGTGTAGGGGCTGGGGGAGGGACAGGGGTAGGGGCTGGGGGAGGGACAGGGGTAGGGGTTGGGGCTGGGACTGGGGTAAGGACAGTGATATGAGATGGAGCAAGGATAGGGGTAGGGACGGAGGCTGGAGTAGGGTTATGGACAGGGAGATGGACGGAGAGATGGAGATGGAGAAGGGCTGGGACACAGATAGGAACAGGGACATGAGATGGAGCAAGGGTAGGGAAAGAGGCAAGGACAGAGAGTGGGTCAAGGAGATGGACGGGGAGATAGACATGGGAAAGGAGATGCACAGAGCCAGAGAGATGGACAGGGGTTGGGGGTGGGATAGGGGCAGAGCCCAGGTGGTGGGCTGCCTTGTGACTGGTGTCCTCTGTACGGCCCTGGCCTCCAGCTTGGTCCTGAAGGCTGTTGAGAAGTTCCTACAGCCCAGGCTGGTAGAAAGGCCCCTGACCCTGGTTGGGCTGGGGGCAGCCGGGCTCCTAGTGAGGGTCACAGGCTTCCTTCTCCTCCAGGGGCAACTGGCTGGCAACCCCCAGTCCTGGGGGGCAGAAGACCGTGCACAAGAGTATCGAGGTAAGGCTTGTTCAATGAGGTTCCTGCCCTAATGGGTAACGTGGTCCTAGCAGCGGGAAAGCTTGGCCAGACAGTGCTCTCAATGGCCAAGCTATATGGGTTTAGATGGTTAGACTCCAGCCTTTACCCCAACGCACACTCCAGGCTCCCCCCCAAGCCTTGGCTCTTGCCAACCTGTGCCTAATACTCTCCGGAATTAGGTAAGCACCTCTATAGGGAGAGAGAGAGAGAGAACATTCCATTCCAACAACCTATCTCTGGGACTTCCACGTGGAGGTGGGAGGCATGGAAATCTCAGTTGGGTTTGGAGACTCTTAAGCACAGTGATGGATTCCCGCGTGTGTCCGACACCCGGTTGGGGCAAACCAAAATGTCTCCCTCCTCCACTGTCTCTTCAGAACTCCGCAGCTCGTGTACTGTCCCGCCCCAGGCTTCGGGACCACATCACTCCCACCCTCGCCCTCGCCCTCGCTCGCCTCCACTGGCTCCCCCATCCCCCAGAGGATCGCTTTCAAGATCCTCATCCTCACCTACAAGGCCATTCATGGCCTCGCTCCCTCCTACCTCTCCGACCTACTATCCCCCTACCTACCTGCCCGTACCCTCCGTTCCTCTGGCTCCGGTCTGCTCCACATCCCCCGCCCCAACCGCCCTACCATCGGTGGTCGGGCCTTCAGCCTCTCAGCCCCGAGGTTCTGGAACTCCATCCCCCAGTGCCTTCGCCGCTTCCTCCCTTTCCTCCTTTAAGGCCGGTCTCAAGACCTTTCTCTTTGACCGAGCCTTCAGCTCTCCTCTCGACTCTCTACCCCCTCCTCGCTCCCTCCCTTCCCTCCCCTCACCCTGACCATTTCCCCCCAATGCTCGGGTCCTGACCCAACTGTATAGCGCCTTGGGACGTCCTCCCGACGTGAAAGGCGCTCTATAAATGGAATCTTGTTGTTGTTGTTGTCTCCCTCTCCTGGCTCTCTTCTCTGGGCTGGTTGGCAATGCCGTATGATCCCACCCGACCAAGAGATGGAGAGAGAGAAACAAATACACACACACACCAACAGAGAGAGAGAGAGACGGGGAGATGGAAAAGCGATAGGAAGACGAGAGGGGAAAGACAAAAAGGGAGAGAGAGTCCGGGAAAGAGAGAGAGAGAGAGAGATGGAGACCGAGACGGGGAAGAGGGAAAGAGGCAGATGGAGAAGAGAGAGGGAGACAGGACTTGATTACCACATTTCTGTTGCTGAGCCAGAGAAGCCCTCTTCCCCCATTCCCCCCAAGATGTCAGTCACTACACAGTTAACTTAGCACAGCAATAATAATAATAATCCTTGCACTTGATATAGCGCCTCATCACGTCGTCGAGACCTCTCAAAGGATGCGGCTGACATTTGTTTTGGGGGGTTGGGGGGTGGGGGTTGGTTTTGCTTTGCAGATCTGCTCAGGAAAAGCCCGGGAAGAGCAGGAGAGAGCGGGGAACTGGAGCCAGGAACATTCCCAAAGGCCGGAACGCCGGGCTGGTCCAAGCTGATGGTCCCAGCCCTGAGCCAGGCTGCCTGGCCGGCCCTTCTCCTGATCGACGGCCTCTCCCACTATCTACTGGGGCCTAGCTGCCCGGGAAAGCCTGGGTGTCACCTGCAGTGCGGCCTGGCGGAGGGAGGGAGGTGTGGGCGGGGGTCCGGGGGCAATTTAGTGGCTCCTGACCAGTGCTGGCTGGTTTTCCTTGACCCTGCACTTTCCCTCCTGGCCCTTTGCGGCCTACTCGCCTCTGTCCGGGCCCCGCTCTGGAGTTCGGCCCTTACCCTCATGCAGGCCGTCCCGCCCGGGGTCAGCCTGGGCCGGCTCAGGGACGGCCTGCTAGCCATCAGCGGGGTCCTCTCAGTCCACGAGCTGCACGTGTGGCAACTGGCAGGCGGTCAAGCGGTAGCCTCGGCTCACGTCAAGTGCCGGGACCCCGGGGCCTTCCCGGCCGTGGGTCGGCTAATCGAAGGCCTGTTCCGCCGGGAGGGGGTGACGGCCTTCACCGTGCAGCCGGAGTTCGGCTCAGGCACCCCGGGCGCGGCCTGCCAGCTGGCCTGTGGGGCCTCATGCGCCCTCAAGCAGTGTTGCTCCTCCAACCAAGACTCAGGCTTCGGCTTGGATCCGACGGTAGTAGGCCCCAGCGAGCCCTCGACCGGCACCCGGCTGCTCAGGTCAACGCGCCGCGAATGCGTGAGCGCGGAATACGAAACCAGCGTTTGACCCCCCCCCCCGAGGCCCAAACGATAAGCAACGCCGACAACAACTTGCCTTCATGTCGCGGTGCCCCCACCCCCCCCCCCAACCCCCAATCTCGCGGAGCGCTCGATGTAACAGTGCACAACGTCTCATCACGCCTTCGAGACGCCTCAAAGCGCTTCGCTGTGAAGCGTAGCGGCTGCGCGTTCGGTGGGCAACACGCGGCGGCCAACTGCGGTCACAGCGGTCTCCCACAAATGGTCACGGGGCCACATTTTTTTTTGGGGGGGGGGAAGGGGATTATTACCCCCGGAAAGCAATCTAGGAATCGACTAACAACTTGGGCTCCGATTCGCTGTTGGATAAACAGAGGCGTTGTGTGTGGAGTAGTGAAACTTGACTAAAGTTGACCCCAACCCCCAACCCCCAACCCCAACCCCAACCCCCAACCCCAACCCCCAACCGCAACCCCCAACCCCCAACCCCAACCCCCAACCCCAAACCGCCCGGGAACCAATCCTGGGTCCACTCGCTCGCGAGCGCACTAACCTCCGTCAACTAACCCTCACCCTCACCCTAACGCTCCGGAAACTGATGACGGACTCTGCCTCGAACCCTTCTCCGCGAAGAAAAAAACAAAAACCTCTCTTCTGTTCGGATTTATTTTGCGAGGTTTTAAAAAAAGAGATGAATACGGTTCCAGGTGGAAGAATATTTTTGTAACGGCAACAGAATTAATTAATAACATTTTTAGTCAATAGACTGGCGTTTCATTTTGCGGACGCAGTGTAAAGGAGCTTTACTGTGTCTCTAACCCTGACCCGGGAGTGTGGACGGACCCACAGTGTAGAGGAGCTTTACTGTGTCTCTACCCCTGACCTGGGAGTGTGGACGGATGCACAGTGTAGAGGGAGCGTTACTGTGTCTCTAACCCTCTGACCTGGGAGTGCGGACGGACGCACAGTGTAGAGGGAGCGTTCCTGCGTCTCTAACCCTCTGACCCGGGAATGTGGACGGACGCACAGTGTAGAGGGAACGTTACTGCGTCTCTACCCCCGACCTGGGAGTGTGGACACACAGTGTAGAGGGAGCGTTACTGTGTCTCTAACCCTGACCTGGGAGTGCGGACGGACGCACAGTGTAGAGGGACCTTTACTGTGTCTCTAACCCTCTGACCTGGGAGTGCGGACGGACGCACAGTGTAGAGGGAGCGTTACTGCGTCTCTAACCCTGACCCCGGGGAGTGCGGGCGCAGCGTAGACGGAGCGTTACTGTGGCTCGAACCCTAAACCGGGAGTCCTCCCAAGGAGAAGAGAGTGCACTTTCCATTCCGGCAAACCATCTCCGGATCCCCCCGGAGTGTCGGCCGGATGGCGGAACTTTCTCAGTTGGGTTTCGGAAACTCTTTCTCAAGCGCCGCGCGACGGAATGGGTGGTGCGTCGTAAAAAAAAAAGCAAAGTGATAAGCGACAATTTCTTAGAAAAATAATTCGTTTTATTTTCACGCCGAAGTTTCCGGGGACAAACGCGGGAGCGTAACGGGAACCGGAGAGATGCCTTGGCCTCGTTCTGCGGATTTGTTTGGAATTCCGCCCGCCCCGCCCCGCCCGCCCCCACCTTCCTCCCGTCCCGACGGACGTTCAACCCGAACGATCCGAACGGGCGGGTGAAAGGGGGGGGGGGGGGGAAATGGAAGAGGAAGAGGAAGAAAGAAACGACTAGAAAAAGCCGGGAAGGGGGAGAGAGAGAGAGAGAGAGAGAGAGAGAGAGAGAACGAGAGAAAGAAACGACGGGAGACACGTGCGCCAAGTGTGGCGAAGACGATTCGCGGAAAGGCGGGGGCGGGGGGGGGGGCCATTAAAACCCTGCGGTCCCGTCGGTCGGCCCCAGGCGCTCGCATCCCGGCCTCGGAAATAATATAATAAAATATTAATACATATATATATATATAAATAGAGAGAGAAAGAGAGAGAGATGACACCATTAGCTCAGAGAGATGGAGGGAGGGTGACGCTGACGTCACAGCAGGAGAGCACATGGCGGCCCCTGGTAGAGGGTTGCGCGCGGCGCTCCCCGTGACGTCACCGAGGTTCAGCACATGCTCCCCCTCCCACCCCCCGCACTGACGTCACCGCCGCGGGGCGGGGCGTCGATCACGTGCCGCCGGCCTGCGGCTCTGGTTGGACCCAGCCGCGCGCGCCCCCTCTGACGTCACCGCGGCCGCCCCCCCGGTAGGCGGGGTTGGACGTTCCGTTCGACGCCGACGCCGTCGCCGCCGCCCCGCCCGCCGGCGGCTTCCCCGCCGAGCGCCGCCGGACGACGCAGCACGCCCCGGCGGCCACGGCCACCAGCAGCAGGGCCAGGAGGCCGGACGCGCCGACGGCGGCGACCGTGTAGCGGCTGGGTTTGGTGGTGAAGCGGCGGCAGGGGCCCAGCTCCAGCCCGGGGCCGTCGAGGTGCCGCCTCTCCGGGCTCGACCGCGGCGCCACCCCCTCGAGCCGCCGGCTCTGGCCGGCCGCGTTGAAGGCCTCCACGCAGACCCGGTAGGCGGTGGCCGAGCGCAGGCCGGTCAGCGTGTGGAGCCGGGCGTCCGGCGCGAGCGGCTGCGTCGTCAGCGTCGGGCGGGACGACGAGCCGCCGGCGGGACCGTCCGGGCGGTGGGCGGGGCCCTGGGCCGCGCGGGCCCCGTCGGTCACGTGGCCGGCGTCGACGTGCCCGACGTCGTCTGCGTCGTTGCTCAGCAACAGGCGGTAGCCGCGCACGGTGGACAGGGGCTCGCACCAGTGCAGCTGCGCGGACGAGTCGGTGATGGTGGTCGGCGGCAGCAGCTGCGGCGGGTCGGGCGGCGCGTCCTCGTCGGCCATCCCGGGGCACAGGCAGGGGTTGGAGGGGCCGGCGAGCAGCTGCAGCTCGGCGCACGGCCTCTGCCCGTGGCGGCAGCGGTCGTAGTCGCACAGGCGGGTGGTGACGCCCGGTACCGGCTCCGTGACCGTCTCCTGGTCTTCCTCCTCGTACTCGTACTCGTACTCGTCCTCGTCTTCACCGCCCAAGCGGATTATCACGATGTCGTCGGGTAGCGACCGCCCCTTGGCCACCGTCGTCTGCGGTGCCGTCGCCGCTCCCGGTGCCGGAGCCGATGATGCCGTCTCCGGTGCCGTTGCCGTCGTCTGCGGTGCCGTCGCCGCTCCCGGTGCCGGAGCCGATGATGCCGTCTCCGGTGCCGTCGCCGCCCCCGGAGCCGTTACCGTCTGCGGTGCCGTTACCGCCGCCGGTGCCGATGATGCCGTCCCCGTTGCCGTCTCCGCCCTCAGAGCCGTTACCGTCTGCGGTGCCGTTACCGTGCCCGGTAAGGCTCCCGGTACCGGTGTCGCTCCGCTCCCCGGGATGACGGCCAAGGCCAGCAGAATGCACACGGCGGGGCCGGTAAAGGCGGCGGCGGCGGCTTTCCCGCGCGGCCACATTGTCGGCGTTGCTGTTGCTGCTCTGTGTTCGGGGCGGGAGAGAAAATTAGGGGTGGATTTCAGTGGCCGGAGGGAAGGAAGCGGTGTTTGGTGAAGTCTGGCACAGAGACAGACCGTGAGACACAGACAGAGACACACAGACATAGAGAGACACAGACAGAAACACACAGACATATAGAGACACAGTCAGAGACACACAGACATACAGAGACACACACTCACAGACATAGAGAGACACAGACAGAGACACACAGACATATAGAGACACAGACAGAGACACACAGACATACAGAGACACACACTCACAGACATAGAGAGACACAGTCAGAGACACACAGACATATAGAGACACAGTCAGAGACACACAGACATATAGAGACACAGTCAGAGACACACAGACATACAGAGACACAGACAGAGACACACAGACATATAGAGACACACACTCACACACATAGACATATAGAGACACTCACACACACAGAAACATATAGAGACACACACATACAGACATATAGAGACACTCACACACACACAGACATGTAGAGACACACACACACAGACACACTGTGCCCCCCCCACACCCCCCCCACCCCCCACCCCACCAAAAACTGCTGCACTGGAACGAGCAGCACTGGGACTGAAAGTGTTAAAGTGTTCACCTCTTTGCAGTTACGGAGAAAAAGCTGAAAGACTCCAATGTCTATGTTCTTCGGAAAAACGGGAGGAGTGAAACCCGCTCGCTCTCAAAGCAAGGGACAGCCGTCTCTCTCTCTCTCTCTCTCTCTCCCTCCCTCTCGGTGTCTCTCTCTCTCTGTGTCTCTCTCTCTCTCTCTCTCCGTCTCCCTCTCTCGGTGTGTCTCTCTCTCTCTCTCTGTCTCTCTCTCCGTCTCCCTCTCTCGCGCTGCGTGCCTCGACCTCTCGTCTCTCGCACGTTCTCCCTTCTGCCTCTCAAATCCTCTTTGGTTCTCTCGCTCCGTCTCTCTCTCTCTCTCTCTCTCTCTCCCCCCCTCTCGGTGTCTCTCTCTCTCTCTCTCTCTCCGTCTCCCTCTCTCGGTGTGTCTCTCTCTCTCTCTCTGTCTCTCTCTCCGTCTCCCTCTCTCGCGCTGCGTGCCTCGACCTCTCGTCTCTCGCACGTTCTCCCTTCTGCCTCTCAAATCCTCTTTGGTTCTCTCGCTCCGTCTCTATCTCTCTCTCTCTCTCTCTCTCTCTGTGTGCGTCTCTGCCTCTCCCGTCGGCTCCTTTATGAAACACGAAGCCCCTCTGACGTAATGCCCCAAACATTCTGCCGGAACATGTTGCTCACTCGCAGTGTAAACCACCAGAGTTCCGAGAGCCTTATCTCCGTCTGTCGGTTCCTCAATCCCGGAGTCTTGTAGATTTCGACGCTTTTCGGAGCAGACGGATTTCACAACGCAACTAATTCTCTTCCGCTTCCCTCATTCCCCCTCCCTCCCTCCCTCCAGCGCTGCGCTGCGAGCTCAAAAAGCCTCCCCTGACATAATAATAATAATAATAATCTGCGCATTTAATAAAAGCGCCTTTTCCTGTCCCCCAAAGCACTGCGCAGAATACACTGTAAAAGTGTTCTGACTGAGTATTTTGTGGGCAAATGGCAGGAGTCCTGTCGCTTGCGAGTTGACCGCTACCCTAAGGGAATCCAGAAGGCAGGGACGGGGTGTGTGTGGGGGTGGTGGGGGGGGTGTGTGTGTGTGTGTGGGGGGGTGTGTGTGTGTGTGTGTGTGGGGGGGGGGACTTTGGAGAGAGAGCCTCGAAATGGCTTTAGGAATTCCACCGCCCGTCCCAACAGGTAGGCGCTTGCCCAAGAATCCAGACAAGCGTTCGCCCCCCCACTCCGCGCTCACCCGCGTGGACCCGGTGATACACCCCCCTCCGGCGGTACAGTCAGCGTCTGCACGAGGGTTGGGGATTATTCACGGTGTCCAGACTGAGGTGGGCAGATGTTCGTGAGGTCGGGGGCGTCAGGGGATATGGGGCAAAGGCGGGTAATTGGAGTCGAGGTCCAGATCAGCCGTGATCCAATAGATTGGGGGAACAGGCTCGAAGGGCTGAATGGCCTCTTTGGGGACAAGTTACAGAGGTTCCCCCAGACACACCGAGTTTGGGAGACACCCCCCCTCCCCCCCCCACCCCGTCCTCCTTTCTTTTTGCCCCGGAGAGACGAGGGAAGGGAAGGGAAGGGAAGGGAAGGGGGCGAGTCGGAGGGTCTGCGGGACGGAGTGCCTAAGGGAGGGGGGCGGAGGGCAGACCGCCGACGGCGGAGCGGCAGTCCCCGGGTGGGGAGGGACCGGGACCCCCCCCCCCCCAACCGGCGGAAGCAGAGCCCACCGGTTCCCATCGGATGCGCAACTGAACGCAACTGTGAAGCAACACCCGGTTACCTAATGCCGCGCTCCGAAGCCACAGAAATAAAGGAACTGGGACTGTATTGCCACGAAATCGCCGAGTTTTTTTAGGTCAATAAGAAGGATAATGCAATAACGCATCGGGCGGTGGTGGGGGGGTGGGTGGGGGGGGGGTAGGGGGTGTGGGGGTAGGGGGGTAGGGGGGGGTCAGTCCTGACGGTAAAGGCTCTCTGTGTGTGACCGAAGGGGTGTAAATCCGGTGAGCGACCGGTAGACGTGTGGAGCGGATCGGGGCTCCCGAGGGCTCCAGAAAGCGTTTGGTGTTTTTTTACTCTGATGTGGACGGAGAGAGAGAGAGAGAGAGAGAGAAAGAAAGAGAGAGAGAGAGAGAGAGAGAGACAAAATTCCACCCGAGTCGCCCCCCCCCCCCCCCTCTCTCTCTCTCTCTCTCTGCCCTTATAAGGGGAAAGGCAGCCCTTTTTTTGCGGCGTGAATACCCCCCCCCCCCCCCCCCCCGCAAAGCCCGAACCGCTGAGACATCGTTTGGTCTCCGGCCGTCACGAGCTCAGTCTCTGGCTCATCACAGCCCGTCCATCGGCGGGTCATCTCTCTCTCTCTCTCTCTCTGTGTGTGTCTCTCTCTCGATGTGTGTCTCTCTCTCTCTCTCTCTGTGTCTCTCTCTCTCTGTGTGTGTGTGTGTCTCTCTGTGTGTGTCTCTCTCTCTCTGTGTGTGTGTCTCTCTCTCTGTGTGTGTCTCTCTCTCTCTCTCTCTGTGTCTCTCTCTCTCTGTGTGTGTGTGTGTCTCTCGCTGTCTGTGTCTCTCTCTCTCTGTGTGTGTGTCTCTCTCTGTGTGTGTCTCTCTCTCTCTCTCTCTGTCTCTCTCTCTCTGTGTGTGTCTCTCTCTGTGTCTCTCTCTCTCTCTGTGTCTCTCTCTCTCTGTGTGTAATAATAATAATAATAATAATCCTCGCATTTGATATAGCGCTTTTCACGTCGGGAGGACGTCCCAAAGCGCTTCACAGAACACACTGTAAAGTGAATTGACTGTATATTTGTGGGCGAACGCGGCGGCCAATTGCGCACAGCAATGTCCCACAAACAGTCGTGGATTGAAAATGACCAATTTATTATTGTTTTGGGTTTTTATTTTTTTTGGAGGGATTATTATTAGGCTCTGTGTGGAGTAAGGAAACTTGCCCAAGGTTTCGCCCTCTGCCGGGAATTGAACTCAGGTCTCTCACTTGCAAAGCGAGTGCTCTAACCACTGAGCTACAGGACTCCACTGTGTGTCTCTCTCTCTGTGTGTGTGTCTCTCTCTCTCTCTCTCTGTGTCTCTCTCTCTGTGTGTCTCTCTCTCTGTGTGTGTGTCTCTCTCTCTGTGTGTGTCTCTCGCTCTCTGTGTCTCTCTCTCTCTGTGTGTGTCTCTCCTGGGGGGGGGGGGAGAGGACAAGCGGCGGGGGCGGCGGGCGAGTCAAGCTCCTGATCTGGACTGTTCTCCCGTGGTGGGGGGGGGGTGGGGATTGCAGGTGGCGATCGAGTTCGACGAGAACATCAACATCGCCTTCAGCTGCGTGACCGCCAGCTGCAAGATCGTCCACGAGTACATCGGGGCCTACATCTTCCTGTCCACCCGCTCGCAGGAGCAGAGCGGGGGCCTGAACGAGGAACTCTTTCACAAGCTGACGGGAGGCCACGAAGCCTTGTGACACCCCCCTCTCTCCCTCCCTCCTTCCCTCCTTCCCTCCCCCAACCCACCCCCACCACCCCCCCCCCCCCCGGCTCCCCAACAGGTCCGTGCCAGTCTGGGCAACCGGCTGCCACGTTTCGCCCACGGAATGCGCAGTCACTCCACTTTTGCAGCGCGTTCCCCCCCCCCCCCCGCGAAGCGCTTTGAAACGTCTCGAACACGTGTGACAAGGCGTTGCATCAAATGCAATGATTATTATCGAACTGCACTCCCCCCGACTCCCAAACCCCCCTATGCTCCCCCTATTTGTGGCGTACCGGTCAGAGCGCTCGCCTCGCAAGCGAGAGACCCCCCCACCCACCCCACCCCCCGGGTTCGATTCCCGGCCGGAGTCGAGGCGAAACCTTCGGTGAGTTTCCTTCTGAGCAGCGAGTGAGGCGCCCGATTGTCGAGTCGATCGCCGTCCCGGGGAGTGACGACGTACGAAATAAAAATGCGGTCGGTCGCTCAGTCCGCGACACCTCGTGGGACACTCCCGTGTGCGATCGGCGCTTCGCCCACAAAGTACACAGCGCGACTCCATTTGAACAGTGTATTCCGTGAAGCGCTTTGAGACGTCTCAGTCGAGCGCTGCATTATGATACCCCTCTCTCTCTCTCTCTCCCTCACGTATGTTCTCGAGGTCCCTCTTAAAACGCAGCTACGTCGCTTGAGGCAGTGAGTTCCACCACCTCATTTCCCCCCTCCGCGTGAAGTAATTCCCCCTAAACACCCCCCCACACCGGTTACGCGCGCACCGCACCGACGAGCAGGAACCTCTTATTTATGCTCTCTTTAACCCCCTCTCTCGGACTCTTCCCTCTCCCCGTTTCTTTTTCGTTCTCTCTCTCTCGCTCTCTCTCTCTCTCCCTCTCTCGGAGTCTGGTTCCCGGGCCAGGCTGGTCCACGGTATTCCGGGGCACCGCCGATGGCAGACCGGCTCATCGGCGGGACCCGTCGCTTGGCGAAGGGGAGACGTCCCACTCAGCTCCCGGTTAACCCCGCAAGCCGACGTCCTAACCGACGCGGTCGGGGCGGTCCAAGCTGGACGAGCGGGCGGGAAAGCTCGGCTGGGCACCGCGTGACGGCAGGACGACCCCGCGCCGCGCCCCGTCGCGTCCCGCACGGTTTTTGTTTTGTACAATAATAATAAAAAACGTCTCTGGGCCCTTGAGCACCGCAGCCACTGTCGGTCAGTTATCCGTTGTGAACGAAAGCCTCGGCTCCTGGCGAGGGGTTTGGAGGGGGAGGGGGGAGGAGGGCATCTTTCGCAGTGCGTGTGCGCGCGTGTACGCGTGTGCGTGTGTCTCTCTCTCTCTCTCTCTCCGAGTGTGTATGTCTGTGCACGTGTGTTGCTCTCTTTCCTCATCTCTGGGTCTGTGTGCGTGTGCGCGCGTGTGTGTGCGTGTGCGTGTGCGCTTAAGCCTCTCTGACCATGCGGATGTCCGCCGGTCAGTGTGTGCGTGCGTGCGTGCGTGTGCGCGCGTGTGAGTTGTGCATACGTTTCCTTTTCTGTCTTGTCTCTCACTGCGCTCGCGCGCTCGTGCGCGACTGTGTGTGGTTGACGTCGTTGCCCGTTTTTATTTTTTAACGTGTGGGGAAATAAAACCACACACTATTTCGCTGGTCGAAAAGTTGCGCCATCCGGGACTTCACTCGCTGCGACGGGGAAGTGGTCGGCAGCGGGAAACGATGCGCAGTCCCAAACCGCAGGACAAG